ATTTTGTGATGATGAATATGCTAACTTTCCTGATTTGATCATCACGCATTGCATACATGTATTAAAATATAACTCTGTACCCCATAAATATGTACAATCAGTATGTGTCAAAAATAAATTAAAAAAATAAAGTTCAAAAACAATTCAGAATACAAATTATTAAACAACAAGAGCTTTCTTCCAGAGAAAACTTAGTTTAGAACAACTACACAAAACCAAGAATATTATAAATACCTAACAATGTACATAGTAAACAATTTAAATGTAATAGGTGCTAATTACATATTTTAATGAAATCTATTCCTCTGCTTATACAATTCATGTTTTAATTTCTACCACTGGAAAGGTACTTTCCAGACATGAAAAGATGGATTTAACAAATATATTCTAAAAACCTCTAGAGTTTTCATGAAACCTTTTATATCTAGAAGGAAGATACTATGGCTCATAAATTTACCCAGGGTCTTGTTCCCCTGGCAGCTGTCCTGAAGCATCTAGTGGCTTCCTAAGCTTATTCTTGTACCTGGGGAGCACTGGATCCAAGGAAACACCTGCTGGCATGAGGCCCATTCCTCTCCAGGGAGCCAGGCCTCCAGGGTGCTGATCGGCATCCTCCAGCACTGCAGTGCTCCTGCATCCCAGCTGTAACCCGCAGCCCAAGGAACAAAGGTTTTCTAAGGCTCATGTGAACCCCCAAGAGAAAATGTGGGCTGGTACACCCCCATCCAAATTGAAAATGTTCACTTGCTTTGGAAATGTACTGAGCTAACTCAACTTTTGCATGTGGCTCTGTGCCATTCTCAAGGTGATCACAAATTGGGAAGAAAACAGCTAATGTGTTAGAAGTCAGGTAAAGTGATAGAACTACTTAAAGTGATTCTTAGTGAGAGAGGTGATATTGTTGTTTTCCCTCTAAGTTAGTGTCTGTATCACGAAAACAGGTGCTCACATAATAGCATTTTACCATTTGATGCCTAATTTTCAGAAATGAACTAATGATACTGTTCATAATTTCATTATTGTGAAGAGAGGTGTTTGTAAATAATCAGGTTTAACTGTCCCACATGCATGAGAATATTATATTTGTAGTGGGTGATGTGCGTTTATCTGCATAAACTTCTTTAGAAATATGATGAATATAGTGAATACATACCTTCCAGGAGTTCTATTTGCTGATGAATTAGTACTTGATCTATCTGTTATAAGAAAAAGAAAATTAAGCTGTTGGTATATGTTAAATAAAGATTTTTTTAGCCAACCAAATTAATTTTGTTTATATCTTAAAAAGTGCATGTAATAAACTATCAACATTTATTAATACTATCAATATTTAAGTTTATCTTACTTTTTAGAGTAAAACTAGAGTTAATATTTTTAACTGATAAAATATTGACTGAAAATGTTCACTGTTAATGTGGGAAAATTTAGGTGAAATATAAATGACTTACACTGGAAATTCTATAAAAATGAAAAAACAATGTTCCTTCTAGAAGAGGTTCAAGAAATATTCATAACCTTTTTATCCATTTGAAAAGCTTATTCTAGAAGACTCAAAAATACTTTTTAAGTATATTTGATATCATCATTTCTAGTAGTTGAAAACTTTGCCTATGTATTTTATGAGATCCTGATTTTTAAAATATCTATTTCAGAGTATTTCTTGGAGAATATAATAATGACTAAAAATCCCTATAGTATGTGCTGCCGGAGTGTATTGTATGAAATTAAATTAGTACAGTACAGAGAGTGCAAAAGAGAGAAGTAATTGATTTACTGAAAACTGGTTGGATACCACAAGAATATTCGTTTTTATGTCTACAGATTGAACACACAGAACTTCATATGCTTATTTTAACTACTTGATTTCTAATACCAAACAAATCTTAAATCTCATATTGCTGAGATTAACAATCATGTAGTACAGCAAAAACCACGACTTTATTTTCCCTGTTGGTGGAATTTATAAAATTGGGTCTTCCAAAGAACAAAGCATCATCATAAAAATGTAGTTTTATTAATTATGATAAAAAGGTTAGACACACACAAAATATTAACACTCTGGTACCATTAATGAAAACTCAAGAATAAGCTGTATTTAGAGTTTCTTTCAAATTCCGAGGAAATTATTCAGTGCTTGGATTAAATTTCACATGGTTCAGTAACAAAGTTACAGGATTAAAAAGCCAGTCCCACTTTCTCAGGTTTTTGGCCGTGAGCAAGTTATGTAACTTCCCCAGGCCTGAGTTTCCTCTTCTGGAAAATAATGATAATTATAGTATTTATACGTCATAGATTTTCTGTAAGAATTAAATGAGTGTATGCATTATGCTTTGGACAAAGATTGGAAAATAGTGCTTGATAAAAGTTTGCTACTGCTATTATCATAGACTTTATTTAAGATGACAGAAAATACAATTTCCTAAGCCATTTATATTTTGCTTAAAAAGTGAACCTGGCCTAAAAGAATTAGAGTAATCTGTTAGCAGACAATGTTGTTTTACCATTTCAGGTTTTGGTGAATTATTCATTTGTTAATCTTGTTAAGTAAATTGGAAGCACAGTTTTGTTTTTTTTGTGTATTTTACGTATTTGAAATTACCTGACTTAAATATTCTAATCCAGGTGGACAGTTCAGAGGAGGTGGTGGTGTTGGCATCCATGGTGCCCCTGCAGGTCCACTGGGCTGATTATATTGGACAGAAAAGCCAGCTGGGCCAGCACCTGAATAGCTGGCTGGTAGAACAGGGTAACCAGGCTGGGGTTCAGGGTATCCAGGCTGGGGTCCAGGGTAGCCAGACTGGGGTCCAGGGTAGCCAGGCTGGGGTCCAGAGTAGCCAGACTGGGGTCCAGGGTAGCCAGGCTGGGGTCCAGGGTAGACAGGCTGGGGTCCAGGGTAGCCAGTATGTCCTGGAGGTCCTGAAATAGAAAGAAACAAAATAATTTGTAATTAAACCAAAAAATGGAAATGTAAACCATTTAAGGATTACCCCAACTATCTACAAAGTGACCTCTCAGCTCAATAATCCTGTATCTGTGAAGCTTATGGTGTGTTGTTATCTTTTATAAATTTTCCAGTGGTTTCCTACTCACTTCTATTTTGAGGGTGGTAGGTGTGAATAGAGTTGGCCCACAGCCTCACCCTTACTGTTGAAAACTCAGTTGGAAAAGTGAAAGAAAATCTGTGATCTGGAGTCACCCACATAAAGATCTGGCATGCCTTCAGTGAAAAGAGAGATGACACTGGGTAAAAGGCACAGAATAAAGGCTCTGAGCCAGAACTTCTTGGACCAAAGCACCTTGTAAGAAAATGATAATTCTGGACTTCTGAGAAATGAACATCTCTTATATGTATAGAAAGAACTAGGGATGGTTTTGCCCACCCTCCCAAGGGATATTTGGCAAGGTCTAGAAACTATTTGTCTCAACTGTAGAGGAGGGTGATACTGGAATTTGGTGGGTAGAAGCCAGGGATGCTGCTAAATATCCTAAAATGCCCAGAACAGTCCCTAGAAAACAAAGAATTGTCTATCCCAAAATATTATAGCAGCACTGTTGAGAAAACTTGGTGTAAAAGTAAAAGCATGTCCCAGACACTCTTCTGGGTTAACAGTTTGCCTGGAGTTTTAATCCATGGTGTATTCCTAGCCTCGGTGCTTCTCTATAAAAAGAAAAAGAAAAAAATCTATTTTGATATTTAGGTTAGATATTTAAATTTCATAATTTAACCACCCTGTGTTCTCTGGAAAATATAATTTGAAAAACAAGGAAGGCAAAAAATTATAAAAGGCAAAATTCTTTTAAGTAATTACTAAGCAGAGTAGAGGAAGAAATTTAATAAGTGTTTTTTGTATTACCTGTAAATATGTGATTGCAATGAAGCTTCATAAGCTTATTTGTATAGTCCACAGAGTAGCAATTCCATAGGAATAGAATATAATTTCAAAGGACTGTGTTCCACACTACTCTAACATTAAAGGCCATGTAAAATTAGAATGGGCAATTATAAATACTTTTAAATGGGAAATTTATGACAAAATTGATGCATCCTAAAAAAGTAAGGCTAAGAAAAACAGATTAAATCTCATAATAATGCTTTTTAAATAAAGCTTTTATAATTTATTATTTTTACAATGAATATGTATTTATAGATTATCTACCAAGTGACTGGCTCTGTGGTAGAACCAGTGGATACAGCTATCACTGAGTCAACCTGCTCTTAGGGAGCTTACTGTGAACTTCTGAAAGACAAAAAATAAATTTTAAAAGATTTCTGATTGGCACGATGGAGAAAATAGGTGTGGGAGATGGCAGGGTGCAAAGCAGTTGTGTTAGTATACATACACTTTATACTGAGATCTAAAAGACGAGACGGAAAAAGCTTTATTTGAAGATCTGCTGAGAAATGCTCCAGGAAGAAGGAAAAGCAGATGCAAAATCCCTGACTCTGGGAATGATTTGGCCTTTTGTGTGAGAGAACATCATGAGAGAGAGGAAGAACAGGAATGGCTGTCAGAAAAGAACAAGAGACAGTTCATCTAGGGAGGCCCTTAGTGAGGAGTTTGGATTTGATCCCAAGTGTGATCGGCAGGCACTGGAGGATTTGAAGCAAAGGACTGAGTTCCATGATCTCAATTATGTCTTAAAAAGTTTTTAGAAGTGCCGAGCATTGGAATTTACAATGGGAAACAGAGATGCAATCCCTGCCTCACTGTTTGATAGGAGAGATAACTTTATACTCACCCTATTCTAGAGGGCTATAAACAAGTGTGATTAATTGATTAATGAGAATTGGAGGTAAGTGATTTGAAGTAAGGAGCCAGGCTTTTATGACTACACAGGCCCAAGGTGGCTACTGAGACACGGAGAGGGAAGGGAAGGAGCAGGTGCAGCCCCCCAGAGGACCAGCTTCCAACTGAGACCTGAAGGGTGTGGAGGAGTTGACAGGCTGGGCACACAAAGAGCATTGCAGAGAGAAGTCCTGGGATTGTAACAAACACAGAGTTTTAGCGATCTGAAAAATGGCCAGTCTGGCCGAACAGTAGAGCTGGGCTCGAGGCACTTAAAGTGGGAGTAGGGAAGAGGCTCGCCTGGGCCTGGTTTGGCCTTCATCCTAAAAGTAATGATAAGCTGATAAGCTAGGGGCTGAACACTGCCTCTGATATGAATAAATACAGGTTTTTAAAGATCACTGGCTTCAGTGCAGAGGCTCAGGCAAAGCCAGTGGGGACCTAGAGATGTGAATTAATTGGTTACATTATTAACATCATAATAGTTTGATTATATAAAGCCCAACTGATTTAACATATGATTAATATGTTAGCAAATACTTGTCATTTATTATTTGCAAAGCATTGTGCTCAGCGTTTTATATATACCCTCACTCATTTTTATATGCATGTGTGTGTGTGTGTGTGTGTGTGTGTGTGTGTGTATGCGTGCGTGCACGTGTGGGGCTGGCCTGTATGGGGATCTGAACCCTTGACCTTGGTGTTATCAACACCACGCTGTAACCAACTAAGCTAACCAGCCAGCCTTTATTCTCTCATTTAATCTCCAAAGCAACCTAAATAGAAAAATATCATCCCCAATCATAGATAAGAAAACAGACTTTGAGGTACTGCAACTTGTCTAAGACCACCACACAACCAATAAGTACAGATGGCAGAACTTAAAGTCTGATCCGAAGTCTCTATGCCTCAGTTAATTAATAGTATTTACCTTATAAGAGTGTCCTGAGGAATAAATGAGTTAAGCCACATTTAACTCGTCTTAACTCCACTTAACTCCATTTAACTTCCATTTAACTCCACATTTAAAAGAATGCCCAAAGCACAGTAAACTCTCAATCTTAATTTATCCTTATTGTTAGCATCACTGTGATCTTAAGAACTGTGCTATATGTGGCCTTTAGACTTGAGAAACAAAATCAAGCTATTTTTCTAGCAAACTCTCAAGTTTATAACTGAATTTCATTATGTACACCTTCTTTTAATTAGCTATGGGGTGGATTAAATCATTCTCTAAGTACCTTGGATGAATCTTATTGACTTACTAATACTTCTCTAAACAACAACCCTGTAAGAACATAGAACACAGGTATATATATATATATATATATATATTTGTATTTATTTGTCTTTTTTGTGACTGGTAAGGGATCGCAACCCTTGGCTTGGTGTCCGCACCGCACTCAGCCAGTGAGCGCACCGGCCATCCCTATATAGGATCCGAACCCGCGGCCTCTGGCGTTCCCACCGCCGCACTCTCCCCAGTGACCCACAGGGTCGGCCCTAGCTCATATTTTTTTAATTGCAAGCATCTGGATGAGATCCAGGACCTGCTGGGTGGTTTCTGGGTAGAAAATTAAACAGGTCATTTAGCTCCCAAGCAAATTTGTTTGCTCGGAGAAGAAAACAAAATGGTTACACCCTTCAGACAAACCACTTTCTCTTTGATCCTAAATACCCAGGATGCTCTTTCAAGATGTGGGTAGCCTGTGTACTTGGAAATCTGGGCACATGTTAACATGGACTTTGCCATTTGTAAAGTTCTAGTAATTTTGATAACTCCATTTATCTAAATGAAAATCTCTAGATTCTTTCATGCATTGGTTCAAAAGAAAAAAGTACTCTCTACTACGTAGCGGTAAGACTCAATTACTTTTCTTAGAAACGCAAGGCATGGGCCGGCCCTGTGGCGCACTCTGAAGAGTGCAGCATTGGGAGCACAGTGGCGCTCCCGCCGCGGGTTCGGATCCTATATAGGGATGGCCGGTGCGCT